ACCCTTGCCTTTTCTTAAAAAGGTCAAATTTTCTGATATTTAGGAGGTTTGTTAACTTTGACACACAGTCATGAATGTCTGCACGTGCACTTTCTGCATGTTGGTTGCACCACATGACTCATTTAGCAGACAAAGCTTTTGCAAACAATAATGAACAGTGCAGAGGTTTTGTTCAGAATTTGATTTAGTGTTACTTCATTGTATTGTGTAATATTATTAGACTAAACTATTTTTTTAAGGCAATTGTGATTCATTGCTCAAAGGCTGTGTTGTACTTTTCTGCTGAACATAAGGACTAGATGCCCAGCAGCAAAACTTAGATGGCTGCTGAGCAAAACTTGTTGGCAGACCTGATGTCATGCAGTGACCCAGTAAAAAACTAAGCAGATATCCATGGCAAATGGGAGGTAGTTTGGCTATACGAAAAAAGTCAGCATACCCAACAGGCCATGCGATGGAGTACAATGATAAAGAACAGCTTGTGATGCCTCTGGAAGCATTAGAGAGACTGATGCCCGTTAGAAGTGAGACAAGTCATAGATAGAGGGGGGGGAGAATGGGCGGATGCTGCTCTCTCTGCGACACAGAGGGGTGAAAGGTTATTTTCTTAAAATTATATGCTCAGCTTGGGGACTGGATGCCAGGCTTTGAACTGACAAACGCTAAAGAGAACAGCCACACTGGCGCTATGTCAAAGTTTTTTACATTCTCAAACAGATGTACACACATCTCTAAACACACATTTTTGATCTTCAACCCCCAGGGCTTGCATAATAATAAACACATTGGAACATTTAAGTATGCTTTTAAAACTAAAACTTGGTGCAGTGAAGCAGAGATGATAAACACCAAGTCATAGATAGAGGGGGGGGAGAATGGGCGGATGCTGCTCTCTCTGCGACACAGAGGGGTGAAAGGTTCTTTTCTCAAAATTATATGCTCAGCTTGGGGACTGGATGCCAGGCTTTGAACTGACAAACGCTAAAGAGAACAGCCACACTGGCGCTATTTCAAAGTTTTTTACATTCTCAAACAGATGTACACACATCTCTAAACACACATTTTTGATCTTCAACCCCCAGGGCTTGCATAATAATAAACACATTGGAACATTTAAGTATGCTTTTAAAACTAAAACTTTGTGCAGTGAAGCAGAGATGATAAACACAGTTATGCTCTTTCTTAATTTGTCATTTTTTAAGTAAACATGAAGAAATAAGTTTAACATAAACAAAATATCAGTTTCCAATTGACTTGGCGTTAAAAGATACAACTGCAAACTTCTTGTGTTTTGCTAAAGAACCATCAAGTGATAGAATTTGTTTAGGCTTGTTGTTTATTTTCATTCCAAATCAGCCCGCTGGTTTGACCCTGGAACACAGTTAGCGCCTAACCTTAATATCATTAAAGGGAATATGAGAAGTGACACAGCTGCTCTTAATGCATCCTGTGATCCTTGCGTACTGCAAGATCCTCGATCCCTCCCAAAACAAAGACTGATCTGGACTTATTTTACAGCTTTCCACTCTGACATCATTACATTGTGGAGACAGAGAGGGCAGCGTAAACCTCAGACCTGACTTACCAGGTGCAATTGAAAAAAATCAGGTGCCATAAAACGTGATGGTCCATTACATACGGCCCCAAGCACCACCATCATGTCCCCCAGCCTTGTTGTAAAACTGTTGCGTTTACACTGTTCAAACACAGCGGGCCCCTCACCTGATCTCACGGCCCCAGGCAGCAAGCACACTTGCCCGCACAAAGAGTTAGCTGTATGGACACAGAGACTCTCCGTCCAGTCTCCTCCTTCCCCCTCTCTCCCTGTCTCTCTCACTTGAAGTCTCTAAGTTCCCTTGAAACTCAGTATTGTTTCACTCCAAGTGTTTTGCAAGCATGAAGGGAATTATCAGTCATGGTTAAAGCATGAAATCTTCACTGTAAGAGTTACTGTGAGGAAAATAAAGTAACAACAATACAATAAGTAAAACAAATCCCTTGCAAGTAAACTAAAAGTGGATGAATACTAGATAAGGACATGTCAATTAATTAATCCCACAGAAAGTTACTATTTTACTCTAGGTTCCTATAAAGTAACTAATACAAATCAGAAATATATTTTTTATGAATACATTTTTGTTTATAAATAGAAACTACTGCAAAATAATAATAATGGCAAGTCGCCTTTACAGAAAATAGAGAAATATAGCCTATTCTCTATACCGCAACCAGTAAACAACCTCACTAGTTGCATGAATGAATTCACGGGAACCGAGGAAAAAGACTGAAAGAGTCTCGAAAGAAACAAGAGTTCCTCTAATTGGCCCCTTTATACATGAAACAAGAGTGCATGTCCTTCTCTTAAAATATGGATTTTAAATGATTTATTCTCTAACGCGCAACAACATTCATTTGAATGTTATATGAAATAGAATTGGACATGGGTATTAAAGGGACAAATCCGCGGGATGCGACACTGCTAATCCACACCTCCAACTGAGAGATTCGGGTTCGGTTCATTTGTTAAAAGAGTGCTTTTTTTAAAGTAGCCATACCTTAACTTTCAGAGTGTAGATATAGAGCAAGTTACGTTAGGCTTTAACGTCAGATTTAAAAATAATATCTTATAACACCGTATATAATTAGTTGTAAGTGTTTGGATATCATTAGGTATGGTCCGGTATGAAAAGGCTGCATTTAAAAAACAAATATCTCACGCACAAGCACGTGCACACACAAACAAGACGTAAAAATAAACTTACAATCCTTGTGGTATGTTTTGGTGCTCCTAGGCTTTTAAATGTAGCCTTTGGTAACGAGATTCCGATGCCTGGAGAAAATGGCAAAGTCTTGTGGTTATCCGTACGAGAGGATGGCGAGATTGTCCCTCTGCGCTCTGACTGCACTTGCTGATATAGTGCAGCGAGTAACGCCTCCCGAGGCCGATCGGAAAATCACTCAAGTTTCTGTCCAACAGCAATATGTGAGTGGCGGACGTGCGACACATCGGATGATGCCCACTCCCTGTTTAAATAGCGATATAAACAAAAAGATTGTTCGAATATCAGAATAAGTTTTTGTGTTTTCGCACTGAGAGTTGTTTAGAAAAATCAAAGAAGCATATGCATGCGAGTTTCACTGAGGACGTGTAAGTCCTTGCAGTTTCACATGCTGAAATATGCTTCACATACAAATATTTTTATATCAGTAAAGCATTTTAGATCCCAGTTTTTGCACTGCTTACTCATGTCTTTATAATAACTAATCATTTATAATAGCTAACTAATTAATAATTATTCATACTGTAATAAATATTATAGCTATTGACAATGCATATTTTATATTGCTAACATTTCATAGCATATGAAATCATTCAAATAGTTAAAATGTAATATATAAATAAACACTCATATTTGAATGTACCAACTGTTAAGCATTCTGGTTTGTTAATGACTAATAATAATCGCAATATCATATTACCATTCATATGACTTAATTATTATAGTATCATACAGGTAATATGACTTAATGCTTCATGGTAAAGTCTTATATAAAATGCAGCTTGCAACGTGCTGTAGTTAGTAGCAGGTGAATTTTGTTTTATTTTTCCTGTCCCACGACTGTTTTATTCTTTTTGCATCCTCTTGGCAATCCCTCAAAAACTTCCAGGCAGTCGGCTAAATTTAACCACAAGGAAGCTCACCTGTTCTTAATCTTCAGCTGGCCTCTGTTTAGCTTTATATGTTCTGGCTAATGGCCAGTGCCTATTGCATGTGACATGGAAAAGTGGAAACTGAAATGAAACATTCTCAACAATATTAGTGGAATCTTAATGGGATAAATTGTTCAGTAGTAAGGAGTGAAGTGATGCATTTGATTGTAGAAGCAGTAGTGCATTGATCCAAGTGCAAAACATATTTTGGCTTCCTCTAGCAATGTGAGGGTACTGATGGAAAAGAGATAAGCCACATGAATGCAACTGTAACCACAACATTACACGGAAAGTGTAGAGTCTTGCCAGCATTATTTTTTTATTGTGTGGACGGAGATTGATCAATGTGCTTATCCTTGTAAACATATCGCATGAGATGGAACACCTGCCTAAACCCATCAATTGTGGAGCTGCTCCTGAAATTGGGAAATACACACATTAAATGTACTTATACACATGCCAAGAATTTCCAGCCTAACAGTTTCCACATTAAAGGCAACTTCACACCAGACTCACCAACATTTGATTGTTCAATGGCCTCTGTTTGAAGAGCCTAACCATACAGGGTGGAAACCATCAGGTCTTTTTGTGAGAAGCATGCCTAGAACTCCAGCAGTTAAAAGACATTTGGTTTTAGTTAGGGGCGTAGTCTGGTAAACCGAAACATGTTCCAAATTAAAGATTGTTAAAATGGTCTTTCCATCTTATTTGGATTCAAGTTTTCACTGGAGTCCATTCTTTGTGTCTGCAGGAAAGGAAAGTTCTTCACAAAATAACACTGGTTTTGGATTAAATACTTGCGGGGGTCACTGACACAGGCTGTCTATAAAACAAAAATATCACTATTTTTTTTTACATTTTTGTAGCTGTTCACATCCGATCATAGAACGAAGCCTGTAAGGGAATATAACTCTTTTAAAAACTATTGTACAGGGTGGGACCACCAGGAAAGTAGGAGACAAGGACAAATGATGCATCCATTGATAAATACATTTCACATTGCACTTCCACAGTCTGCGTTTGCATTCCTACCTGCCCACATGGTCTTTTGGCTATTGAATTCAAACAATATGTGGCAGACCAGACATACAAGCAAAGGAATAGCTCGCTTCCAACGTGAGAACAATTATTTCAAAACATGCTGCGTCAGAAGACTCTTCCAAATTGCTTTGTTAACAAATGGCCGAGCTGCATTCATACATTGAATGAGCTGAGCTACGCAAGCGTGGCGTAGTGTTGTGTTGTGTTGCACAGCGGGATGCCAAACAAGAGCTTGTTAGTAACAGAGGCTTGACATGCTCGCGGCTTATCCGATAAGATCAGAAAACGATGAAAATGACCGGCTAGAGCTCTCATTATGTGTAAGAATCGCATTATGCGTTATAGTTGATAGAGTATTGTATTCCGTTTTTAACTAGTTGCCTCGCTGCCCCCTCAGAAGCAGTGAAGAGGCTTTGATCTCGTTGCCATGGCAGCTGTCAGAAGCGCGCAGCAAACCGCAGCCTGCCTGGCGCGAGACTTGTCCAACTCAAGTTAGAAATGCTTAACTAGTGAATTCTAATCGAGACTTACTGCTTGGATGCATTACTTCGCTTCGTTTAACCATTTTAGTATCGAAAGCGGCGGCTATTATGCTTTAACCCCTCTGATATTCAAATACAGCTCTTTCTAAACTAAACTCTGTAGCGCGTGGAATCACTAAGGATGTCGCAGAGGTGAGTAATAACTGCCCTTTTACCTAGTGCACTTCACTGCGAAACAGGACTGTTGATGTGATGCCAAGAACCACCATGGTGTTTAGAATGAACGACAGCGGTGTACTGTCTGTGTGAGAAAACTGTGTTCTCTACACAGTGAACTGCTATAAACTCTGTAACGTTCAGAATTGTTTGTATAACTTTATATCAAGAGAATATGCAACATGTCTATGTGAAAAAAGGAAGGTGCAAAAGAAGAAAATAGTTCTAGTAGCAATGCCTACTAAGAGAAAGTCCACATTGTGTTACAGTTCCTATGACAACATAGAGCCAAACTACTGAGAACCAGCAGTAACTTTGTCCTCGAATAGGAGCTATTCAAATCAGCTTTGGTGTAGGTGGAGGCATGCTATTTTCAGTCATCCTACACCATTAGTTTTCTAAAGCAGAGCATTACATTTAGTAGTAGTGCACATGCTGAAAGTACTTTTTTTAAATTCCCCAAGCAAGGGAATTTTCCACTTAAACACCACTTTCAGTCAAAATCTGTTAGCTACTGCTGATTTCTAGTGAACAGCAATATTTTTGCCTTTGTTGGCTGCCATACTTAAGATATCTCTAAGAGGTGCTTCACTATTTTATTGTAAATGTTCCTTTACAACCACCCTTCTAACCTCCTCCCACAGCTCCTCCCCAGCCCCCCTCCCGCTCTAACTATTCCATCCCCTCCTTTGATTTTGCCATCCCTACAATTTCAGTAGCTCTTGGCAGTGCTAATGCCCAGAGGGGAACAATACTGTATGGGCCCATCAGAATAAGAAAAGAAGGTGGTTTCACCCTCACCATGAACTCTTTCAACAATCACAAAAGGAGCACCCACACGCAAGGGAGTCAAAGAGGTCAGAGGACATCTGTGGAATTCATGTATATTCAACTTTAGAAAATGAAGAAATAATGTTTGTCAGGGGATTTCTTCCATTATGTGGCTTAATATGCTGACTTATGGTGTACATACATTACATTTATTTTGCACAATCAGACTCTGGCAGTGCTCATTTTGGCCGGAGGGTCTAAAAACCGAGGGTCGAGAAAACTTTCCCAGAGGGCAGGTGCTCTCAACAGGTGTAATTAGGCCTGTTAACAAGTACTACTGCAGATTTACCTGTCTCTACTGATTCAATTTCAAAGACAGATTGCCATGGACATTTTTAAATATGGAAAATTCTATATAAGAAACCACTTTTCAATAAAATACAAAACTCTTCACCATCAGTAAGTACAGAGCTGGCCCAAGGCATAAGCGAACTAAGCAGCTGCTTGCACCGAGGGGTCACCAAATAAAATTCTACTTAGGGCCCCATAAAGGCTTGGACCGGCCCTGAGTAAGTACATGTGAAAGTGTAATCATTGTTTTAGCCACATTATCCATATATTTCTAAATAAAATGACAATAAAGGTAAAATAATATATGATTTACAAGACTTTTATCTCATAAATATAATCCCTTTCCTCTACCCAGTTCATATGGCCAAATGTGGAACGCTGCTCAGGGAGCTTTGGAGGACCTTTTGGAGGATGAATATCCCACAATGCAGCTCCGTCCTCAAAAGGACTGTCTTCAGGTCTTTCAGACACTGGCAACTTTCTACCTGCGCTACCTGAAGATATTCCGTGCCCTGGAGGAGGTTTACGATCGGATTGTTCACCCCCAGAAGAGACGTGTTGTGCACCAGGTTCTTGAGGGGGTGATGGGACGACTGGTAGAGCTGAAGAATGAGATGGTGGAGCTGGAGTACTCAGAATTTCACTACTTTGATGATATATTGCAGGACTTCAAAATGACACCCGTGAGTGAGATAACAAAATATACTGTTGTATGTACAGAATGCTGGGAATGTTTTGGTCTCTTGTGGTTGTAGATTCAAAGGAGAGGGCCTAGAGGGAATTTATGAGATTTGGGCTTGGAGAGGATTTTACTGCTCAATGTCAAAGTGGATTTTAGTGAGCTAAGCCTCTTGTTTTTCTCTGAAATTAGTGGATGCCAATTGGGGTCACTAGTGCACTACATTTACATATGACCTTCTCTATACAGGGCTGTAATAGCTGAAAATAGTTTGAATCTTGTTTTTAGGAGGATCTTGAGGTGCCTATTCCACGCTACTTTGTGAGGGAGAAGATGAGGGCACTAAAAGCGAGAGAAAAGATGCTGGCCCATATTTTGGCTAAAGGAGGACGTCAGGAATGTAAAATTGTGAGTGTGTCTTTATGTAAAACACATCAATGAAATATAAATTCTCTCAATACGAATACATGTAATGCAATAGTTAATACCAAATAGGGTATTCTTCAGGTGTGTGGTTCTGGTTTCTGGTTTAGCAGGTGCCAGTTCAGTCCATGTCTGTGGAGCGGGCACTGTGGCTGCTGCAGGTCAGTGAGCGAGCTCGGCAGGGAAGACTGAGAGCTCGCTTCATGAAGACAATTCGGCAGGAGGAGCAAAGAAGACTTCAGGGTAACTCTACCATGCTGGACCCTAACCAAGCAGCCACCTGCATTCAGAAGGTATCAGGCATCACTTGATTTTCAACGAAAATTTTGTTACTTTGTTACAAAAATTACTAATACATTGCATAGATGGGTTTGAAATTGGCAAAACAAATAAATGATTAGGAAAACGTTTATGCAGTGAACTAGTAAATATTACTACTGTTTTTAGATATAAAGGAATAGTTCACCTAAAACTTTTTTGTCTTTTATCATTTACTCACACTTATGTCATTCCAAAAATTGTATGGCTTTCAAAAACTTTGAAGCTCTAATAGGACATGCAATTAATCCATGTCTTTTGAAGCAAGCTTTGTATGGTGAACAGACCAAATTTAAGCCTTTATTCACTCTCAAATCAAGTTAATTTAATCAAACAGTGCAGCGTACACAGACCATATCAAATATGCAACCCAAACCAGAAGACTTGGAGTATATCAGTCGAGTTGTATGGATTCATTTTATGATTCATGTCCATTTTCGAGCATGAAAGTTTAGGAAAAATGGTTGAAATATTCTTCAAAATATATTTTTTTGTTGCTAACTTTATAACTTGTTTAACTTCTGTTGTTGTTTTGTCATTATTGTTAGTTATTCCTTTTGTTGTGATGTTAAAAGCTCATATTTTTACATTTGTTTTTGAGGTTTGTTCATCAAGTGTTGAGGTCTATGTACAGTAGAATCATTTAAAATTATATTCCAGAATCCTTTGCTTTGTATTGTGATTGCTCTTTCAGAAACAAAGATAGCATGGTTCCCTTTCAAGGGAACTTCGAACTGCGTCCTCTAGAGGGCGCTATGGGGAATGCCTCGTCATGACCCGTGTCTGAAGCATATATTGAAAAACACCAACAACATGTTGGCCGGCGACAGCCCATGACGTCACTATCGGTGCGACTATTAGTATAAATAGGCGCCGGGAGAACATGTCATTCTCTTCTTCGTCTTCAATGACTGTTTTGTTTGAAGCGTGCATTTGAACGTGGTAAGAGCGATCTCTATCCTATTATTATGGCAAACACTAGCAGAACGTTTAGAGGAAGTGTGCATCCGTGTCATTGCTATTTGACACCTGATGACACACACAATCTCTGCGTTTTTTGTTTGGGCGAGGAGCACGCACGCGATGTCCCTGAGGGGGCAATTTGCGGGCATTGTGAGTGTTTTTCGATGAAAAAGCTCAGCTCTCGTTTGTCTCTTTTTTCGAGAAAAGAGGGGCAGCCATCTGCTTCCCGCGGTTCAGGACCCGCCGCTGCTGAGGCACGGAGGAGAAAGAGCTTGTGGGGATCGCAGGTGGACCTGGCCGATGAGTTTAAAGAGGGGCTTTCCCTCGCGCTCGTCGGCTGTGGACGAGAGAGAGCTGCTGGAGGATGATGTTATTTCTCTAACATCGTCTAATCCGGGGGCCAGTGCTCTGCTGGGTTCAGCCCAGGAGGAGCAGGAGATGTCTGAGGACGGCGAAGAGGCTGAGGCTGAGCCTTCCCAAACCTCCTGCCCTGCGTATGATGAGCTGTTGGAAGTTATGAATCGCGCCACGGCGAGGCTGGACTTGCCGTGGAAGCGGGCCAAGAAAATGACGTCGCGAGGTCGCCTCGATGAGCGTTTTCTTTCTGGCCATAACCCTCCAGCTCAGGTGAGCCTTCCATTTCTTCCTGATTTGCATACTGAGATCGAGAAGGAATGGAAGAGGC